GGACTAAAACTGGTAACTTATGACAGAGAGAGAACGGTATTTACTCTCTTTTTTGTCCTCTCAATAGTCAGAGAACCGAGTACGGGATCGATTTCCAGTAAAATCTGACTGCTTCTGACGATTTCTGACTAGTCCGGACTCGTACGGGATCGCAACTTTTTTTTTATTTATTATAGGTTTGCTCCATGGTGGAATAATAACAAGGTGTTGTCAGCAGCGACGTGTTTGTTGTGAATTTAACAAGATTGGCATGCTTATTTTCAGTGCTGCCGATATTAATTTTTATACTACTATTCGTTGGGAAATAGTATCTAAAATCTCCATTTTAGTAATTCGTTTTACCGCGATTTTTAAAGAACTTGGTGTTTTCAGATCAATATTAATATTTAAAATTGCTGGATTTGTATAATTTTTGTCCTCAAAAAGTAGAAAAATAAAAGACGTGGTTATCAATGGAAAAAAACGTATGGAAAGGCGCTTTTTTATATTAAATAACTTTTGCTGCATTGTCATAATATTGAGCCAAATGAACTACTGATACACTAGAATAGAGTGGCTGCATGGTTAAATTAGGAATTCGCTTATATTATCGATATTTATATGTTTTAATATATTTAGAAAATCATTTACAGTCTTATAGGAAATTGCCTTATTTTACGGCTTTTACTTTTTTAAAGTCACAATATATGTCCAAGCTGTGTGGAGCTGCCGATACAAACATATATTCAGGCTTATAAGCCTGTAATTATACATTTTTCTACATTTAATTTAAATAGTATGCACCAACGAATTAAAGGTAGTAAATAATTAGTACCTTTTCTAGTACTTTAAAATGCGTGACCGGAATAGACCTGCCGAAAAAGTGAGGTTAAGTTACTGACAACACACTGGCGCGTATGCATAGTCCAGCAACTAAGTCGAAACTAATAAAGTTGCAACTTAAATTTAAGTACCAACTTTAAATTTACCTCTATTCATAGTCGCATTTCAGACTTCTACTAAGTAGTTTCGACTTAGCTTACGATATAGCAAAACGAGTGTGAAAATGTATCGATTTTTCTTTACGATATTTTGGAAAAATTACATTTTTATTAAATAATATCAAGTTTGATCATCCGTTTATGTAATTTTTATTTTCATTGCATGATTATGCAAAGAATAAGGTATCATTTTCTTGTTAATTGTGTGAAATAGCCAGAACCATTGTGGAAGAATACAAGTGAGATATCTTAGGGTTGACAGATAGTTGACAGGGTGTTCAATATGGCGATGACAGTGTGAACAATATGGCAGCCAATATGGCATACAATACCGAATGGCCCGAGGTAGCCAAACTACGACCCGAATGAAACGCTTCGTGAAAATCCAGGGTTGCGAAGTGGTATTTTGTTGGAAAATATAAAAGCCAGGATTTTGTGCAGCGCCGAATTTTAACAAAAGAGGGTTTTGTGTTCTCAAGATGAACAGAAAAGGGTTGCTGTGCTGTTTCGTTTTAAGCTTATTTTAATCTTAAGGTATCTAATTAAATATTAAAAGGAGACAAAAATTAAAGCAAAAATTTAAAATATATGTACATATCTGAAAATTTTAAATAAAATATATATTTTCACGAGAGACAAATTAAATAAAATGGGTTAACTTTAGGGGAAATATACTTATCAGATTGGGTCAGATAGCGCTTTTACGTTATAAATAAAAATAATTCCTACTTAAATTTTATATAATTTTGGTAACGTATTTCTAAGCTGACCCTGAGATCTGCGAAATAATACATATTTATGTGCATATATTGTGTTGATTATGCTCTAAATCGCTAAATAATTCTTGCAGCAATCAGCACCATTGGAAAGTGAAGTGACAATAGGCTGGTTTTCTTTATACAGCCCGTTTTAAATTCGTATTATTGTTATAATAAATTACAATTATTGTTTGTTTCCATTTCGGTCAACCGCGCAAATTATTTATTAAAAAAATGTCGTTTAAAAATAGCAATTTTGTTTACTTTTGAATAAGACTTTATCGAGTGCGCTATAAAGACAGGGGGATAAATGCTGTAAAGAAATATATGTTGAGTCCAATCGGTTTTTTGCTAATCCGGTTTTTGTGTAGGTATAAACAAGGTATATTAAAAAAATAAATCTCCATGAAAAAATATCGTTATTTTCGTATTTAAAATTAATCGGAATTTTATGGGGGGTTATAAAAACTCGTTTTAATTGAAACTTTGTTTTTTTCGGCTTTATTTGTTATTATTTATTGGCCCAGAGGCAAATATTGAATGAACTAACATATTTTAAATATTTACGGAACTACCATTTGTATGCAACCCTGCCAATCCTATATTCAAGTAGATGTAATTCGAAAAATTTAAACGGATTTCTTCAAATCAACCTGAGCTGCGGACATATTGCGAATTCATTTTTAAACATTAACCACTTCATTATATTAGTATTAAATACTTTCAATTAAGAAACAATTCTTATTAGAAAATAAATATGAATCGTTTTATTTTAAATATTCCAATGTATATTTTTTGTTAATGCAGATAGTGCGGATTTAACGTATTTTATACCCGTTACATGGGGAACATAAATTTAAGGCAGATTGCTATTAACAATTTTTACACAATTTCTTTCAAAACTATAATCTATATGATTGCAAGTTGAATTTTTTACGATCAAAACAGATTCCAATATTAGGTATATTATGCAAATGCGATCCAATTTGATTTGAGTTACTCAGTTTTAGATACATTTATATTTCGGTGTTCGTATGGAATAGTAGTTTATGTCGGGAAGCTGGCTTTAGTATAATCCGGCATTCCCTTTATTATTTACAACATAAGGAATTTTTTGATGACCCTTGACATAAGCTACTATTCCATACGAGTGGGGCACGTGCGAAATGCGGATTTTCCCAGTTGCAGTACTGCAGTAACTCGACACCTTCCTCACCAACAGCTCTGTCCTCTATGAGCTTCTTAATGTAACTGCATATAAAAGATGGAAATTTAAGAAAAATTACTATCACAGCATTTCACTTGTAGCGTTTCACTCTTGTAGTATATTGGCTATCAAGCACCAGAAAATTTCGATCACGCATTCCATATGCCACCGATTGTCGTGGATCAATTAAAATACTGTCATCACAGCTTTTTGGTACTCCAGCAACTGGTGTGTCTATGGCGGAGTTATGTGGAGCTGTTCCATGACTACTCAATTTGGACTCTTTGAGAACTGGCTTGTTTGTTACGAGAGCTATTGGCATCAAATGTATGCAAATTAGATTTCCAAACGAGCAACTGTTGAATACAGAAAAAAATTTATATTATATAATATTTTTAAATACAAAGCAGAAATTACCTGTCGATTCTCGCCCGCGGAAGCAAAATGTCTACCATGTGGAGAGAAAGCGACAGCGCAAACTTAGTAGCCAGTTAGTGTATAATTTTCCCGTCCATTTTGACCTGGTTCCGCTAAAGTGCCCTACTACCGTGTGTAAATTGGCCGACCTTCTAATAAATCAAGCAATCTTATTGTATCGTCATCGCCGCCAGTCACCAAGAAATTTCCACTTGGGTGAAATGCAACATCATTCTCCGGCGACGAATGCACTGTATTAGCTCGCCTTCAGCTTTGTCAAATATCTTAACGCGGTTACAACTTAATGCTAAAGCCACCAGATTGCCGTCTGGATGCCATGCCAGCTGTCGTCCCATACCTCTTCCCCCGGTGAACGTTCGCATACATTCGCCTGAAAATGTATAGCAAATTCTTAACTTGTCGCCGCACGATGAAATGAACTTACCATTAGGGCTGAATTTTGCTGCGCGCACCCATTTTTGTGTATTTTGAATTAGTATTTTGATGGCTGTTCGCCATTTTTCTAGTCTGCAAACGAATAAGCTGACGAAGATGCAAACAAATTCAACCACATTGTTGCATTCTACCGTACTTTTTAAAATTTTTAAAATCTTAAAACATATGTGAAAAACTTTTATAATCTGAATATTTCTAATGTCGAAATCAAAACGAAATTTACTAAATAGCATTTTTAAAAAACAATCATCTAATATTTTTCAAGTTTTTGGGCATATATTTTACCATTTGAACCACAAATACTACTAAGTTGTATAAGACTATTTAATGCAACTCAGGTCAAAAAAGAGCAGTTTAGACCAAAATAAGCAGCTCTAAAAAACAGATGATCGCAGCTGTGGCCCAGGATGACGTCTATTGCTAAGATATCTCACTTGTATTTGTACACAATGGCCAGAACAACCGCAGTGATGTGAAGTCGATGTTTATCGAAAGCATGCTGTGAAACATACAAATAGTAGATATCTAAATGTTAGGCACAAATTTACTTTAAAAGAACTAGCGTGAAACTGACTTATTATTTGAAAATTTATCTAAATTAGGCATAAATGCAGTTGGGCTCCAAATCTCAAATAAAAAAAAAAATATTGGAATCGATAGAGATGATTGAGCTGAGTATAACGGTATACTTCTTTTTTTGGGCAAACAACAACAACAAGAATTATCAAAGGCTAAAGTTCAAAATAAGCAATGAAATCAAGATTTCTCAAAAACGAAACCCTCTACCGACTTAATTTTTACATATTTCGTCTGTTTTCCCTTAATTTGATAAAATACTTCTTCCTAGTTACGACTTAGTTGCAGCTGCAGCCGAAACTAAATTTTAAGTTGGTACTTAGCCAGAAATGTCGAAACTAAGGCGACTATGAATAGCTTTAGTTGTGACTTAGAATAGTTTCGACTTAGTTGAGTACTAAATATGACTATGAATATGCGCCCTTGTTATTATTACACCATGGGTTTGCTCCACTTGTAGAAAAACTCGAGCGAAGTTCAAATTGTGAGCGTATATCAAAGAAACTCTAAAACTTACCTATGGAACTCGTATGTGTAACTCGAAGTGACTTCGAGTAGCTTGTGGAACGAATCTTATATATTTTATTTTAATAATGCAGAAAAAGATACTGAAAATTTATATTCTATTTTTGCACAAAAAGATTTTGTATGCTTCTCTAACCAAACTGGCAGAATTAGTTGGTCTATTGTTGTGCCTGGTACCTGAGATGTTAGGCAACTTTGATATTATTTCTTCATAACATCCATCGAATCCTTCGTTGTCAATGATGGTATTGTGTAAAATACATATGGCTTTTATTATTTTTTCTGCGGTTTCTGGCGAAGTTTCAATCGGCTTACATAAAAGCCGAAATTTAGCGCTTATAACTCCAAAAGCACATTCTACGGTGCGTCTTGCCCACGAAAGCCGCATATTAAAATACTCCTTCTCAGCATCTAAAGCATTCTTACTATATGGTTTCAGTAAATTACGCAGTAAAGGATATGCTTCACCTCCTATAAACACATATGGTACAGTAATCGCTGTGGATGGAAAAGTTGTACCCGGTGGAATGTTCAACCGTCCACTTTCCATTAAATTATAAAGCGAGGAAGCTTTGAAGGTGCCCCCATTGCTTTGTTTTCCATATTCTCCTACATCAATTGTTACGAATTTGTAATTGGCATCAGCTACAGCTTGGAGAACGATTGAATAAGAGTTCTTACAGCCGGAGTGAACGGGGCATTTTACGCGAATATGTTTTCCATCAATACTTCCAAGGCAATTCGGAAAATTCCATTTTAAGTAAAATTCATTCGCGATTTCTCTGAAAGTACTCTCAGTAGGATCTTTCATGTGAATTGGCTGAAGAATTTCCCAAATTGCGGTAATGGTTTCGACGACAATTTTTGAAACAGTACTTGGACCCATTCGAAAAGAGAAACCAAGAGATTTGTAGGATGATCCTGTAGTCAAAAATCTGGAAAATAACAAATAGTTATCAATATAATGCTATTCTGATTTGTATTTCTTTGTAGGAGACTTGGTATAGAACAAGTTGAAACCCCTTAGGGATATAAAAGCAAAAGATTTCCAAAGATAAATCGGGAGCTGGAGCGTCTACAACCGCAAACTCCAATTGGGCCCACTTTGAAAGCCTTTCCTTTTTAAGACCGCAGTTTCAGCCAAGAAAAACGACAGACAAGTTGGCTGTTCCCACGAAATCTCTTTGGGGAATTTGTATGCTGTTACAACAACAGACAAGCTGGCCGCTACAACAACAACAACAGACAACTTGGTGGAGGAAAGCGAATTCATTGGCGCCGATGAAAGCTATTTAGAACAAATAATTTCACAAAACGTTTCGCTGCAGGACTCGGCCGAATTTTTAGAAATTATAGAGGAGCCCTGCACCTCCAATGCGGCAAAAAGAAAAACTCCAATGTGGATAATGTTGGCGTAACATTAATAGAGTTGGAAAAAGAAAAAATTGATATAATTAAGAAAAAAGAGGACCCAGAAGATGAGGATCTACATTTCTTTAAAAGCTCAATGCCTCATTTTAAATTGCTTTCTCCGCAACAAAAAATGGTTTTGCGGCTTAAAATAACGGAGGTGGTGTATAAGTTTATATACACCGCAGGCGGTAACGCAAATTAATGATATTTTTTTTCAAACCCTTAATTTTTAAGTCATTAATTGATCAATTTACACGGTTCAACAAAATTTGGGTGACTTTGATCTTTGAAACGGGACCGACCTAATTTTGTAATTTTTTTAACGCTGATTTCAAATCAGTTTACAAAATTTTTCTACCACGTGAAGTTTGTATTTTATAAACTCATTTGAAAATCACATTAAAAAATCTATGAGATTGAATCGGTCCTGCTTTCGGGATCGGACACGTTTAAATTTTGTTGAACCGTGTTATTTTTTACTGAGCGAAATTCGTTTTTTGTTTTAGTTTAAATGAAATGTAATTTTTTTATTTTTAACCGATTTAAATGTGAATATTTTTTTAATTAAATGAAATGTGCTCTTATGTTTTTGTAAGAGATATAAAACATATTTTATATTATCTTGAACTGTTAGAAAACTGAATGTGATATTATATAAAAAGGATTTAGTGTGCCTTAAAACTGGAATATGTAGCTGCTCTTAATTTTAATAAATATAAATGTAACTTTACCTTATTGTAATTGCCAGTCTTTCATCTACATTGATTGGGCATTTGTTGAAATTGGTCCAGTTTGTTATAAGCTTGTTTTTAATTTTATCCAAAACGTAGTCGAAAGTATCAATTTTCATTCGGAAATATTTTTGAAATTTTACGGAGTCGCGACGCAATTCTTTATAGAGATGGTTCAATTCACACTTCTGTTTTCTGATTTTATTTATAGAATGCACGCTGCAGCTTCTAAATCCTTTCCTTTTATTCATTTTCATTAAGTAAAAAATCTTCAATGACGAATTTTCATTTAATAAAAAATCCATTTTTTAGCAGAGAAAACACACTTTATTTCGTAAACGTTAAACTTTGAATGAAATTTGCGCGTTTGACGCTTTGCTCGATGCTCCACTATGTTTCGAGCGAATCGTTGCTCGAATGACGCTTTGCTCGCCGCTTCACTATGTGCTTACCCTAATGTAGGCAGTTGCAATAGAAGCAACGTTCCATAGTCACATGAAAACTCACCGAAAAATGTATGTAGCACAATATCTGCTGGTGGCGGCGTTGAAGTTGGTGGGTGGATAGGCTAGTGATGGTGTCGATGTGGTGAAGATGTTCCTTGGTAGCAGAGTTGAAGAAAAATTCTATTTTCGGAATGAAAATTTTGGTGTTTTTTGTATGGCAATGGAAATCGTAAATCTCTAAATGTAAAGTTATCAATTAAAACATACAAATATCTGAATGATTGTAATACATACCCTGTTGATGTGATACACAGCAAATATTTCGGCAATATAAAAGAAAAAAATTACATTATAAACATTGTAAACAATGGAAATTGTTAAAACGTCCTCTTACCTCCAAATGTTTTTGCAAAACTGTCGCTTAGGGATGGGCGAGTCCGAGATGTTTTGGTCGACTATCTCGATTGTTCTCAATGTTTTTTTTGTGATTTAAGGCCCTGTCTCCACAGGAAACACTGATGTCGTGATAACTGGAGTACACCTTTCTGCGTAGGCGGCCTTCGGCCGCGCTTAGTGATTATAACCCTCAGGCAGTAGAACTCTTCTTTCTGTGTTGCCAAAGAAGGGGGGCTGAACACCTTTTGCAGAGAACACCTTTCTGCGTAGGCGGCCTTCGGCCGCACTTAGGGATTATAACCTTCAGCCAGTAGAATTCTCCTTTCTGTGTTGCCAAAGAAGGGGGGCTGAACACCTTTTGCAGAGAACACTTTTCTGCGTAGGCGGCCTTCGGCCGCACTTAGGGACTATAACCCTCAGGCAGTAGAATTCTCCTCTCTGTTTTGCGAAAAAAAGGAGCTGAACAGCTTTTGCAGAGAACACCTTTTTAGATTTTTAATGCTTACTGGGTTATATTCTATCTTCTTTTGTCTCTCATTCTTTTGCATATTTTGGAGTTTGACAGCTGAACTCCGCCATTTAATTTGCATATGCAACCAAAGCCAGATGCGTGATTTTGAAGGTGTTTTTATTTAATGAATCGTGATTAATTGGTTAATATTAAAGTCGTAAAGCAAGTTATAACTAATCCAGTAAAGTGTAAAGTGAAGGGGAATACAAAAATGTATTGGTGAAGTGGCTGCTTTAAGGAGAATAAGAGTGATAAATTTACGTTAATTTCTGAATTTTATAAAAAAGGGCATATTTCAAACCCAATTTGTAAATAAATTAGTGACCAAAATTTACAAAAGTGAGTGTTAAAATAATGCGTAGAGCCTTGACTACAAGTGTGTGGAATTTTTTTTGGATCGGGCCACTCCTTTGGACGGAATAGCCCGAAATAGTTGTGAGCGCTACTAAATCCCACCCATGGTTTTAAACACCGAAATTGAGGGAATGTTGTCTGGTGGCGTCATGCGGCAAATGCTTATTTCAAGACATCAAAGTGCCCACACACAAAAACTTGCCATCATATTGCTGGTCAAAATGACAGTTTTTAGGACATCGGTGTTTGCCTGTGGAGTTCTGCGGTAAAGCTTAGTATCCAGCTCTTAAGAAAAGCAAAAACTCCATATAAAATGACGTACAAGAAATGGCTAAGAAATTTTCTTGAGTCAAATTTCCTTAAGGCAGTACGCAGTTCTTCAGAAATTTACTACGCTTTCTACTACGGTTTTCTAAAGTTTTTTGACATTTTTTATACCTCACAGCCTGTTGCCTCACTCTTTCCTCAAGAAATAATGGAACGGGCATATATTTCTGTTGCAAACCTGGGTTGCCTTGTGGTCTTTTTTCACAAAAAACTTTAGAAAACCGTAGTAGAAAGCGTACTAAATTTCTGAAGAACTGCGTACTGCCTTAAGGAAATTTGACTCAAGAAAATTTCTTAGCCATTTCTTGTACGTCATTTTATATGGAGTTTTTGCTTTTCTTAAGAGCTGGATACTAAGCTTAAGCATGAACGAAAGACACAAGATCACGCGGGAAGGAAAGAACGAAAAAAGTTATTTTCTAGCTGCCGAAATCTCGACGCCATCTTTGTTGTAAGAAGTAAACAACGAAGAGAACGGAGAAAACCGCGAAATTGTGGAACGCATGAAAAATCATTTTTATTATGCAAATTCTTCTATAAATCATGCCGTTGTGATAAATTATTCTATATCTTATGTGTACACACGCTGTCACAAGCGAAAATGAAGAAAATTGCAGTAAAAAGCCACGACCAAATTGTAAACAACGAAGAAATGTAAACAAACGGCTAATGTCAAAATCGCTCAACTTTTTTCCTAAAGGTATTGGCCCAATGCAGGCTTGCTTTGCTTGCCTCGCTTTGAGAACTGTCAAAAGTTATTTGGAATATACTAAAACGTATGAATGCTAGCCAAATGGCAGCTTTGCTTCACTTGCTTTAAGCGCCTCAAAGTTTCAAATAGGCAAATGTTTTATTTGAAAGCGCTTTGTAGGCTTTTGACAAAAAGGTATGTTCCCGTTCTAAATGAATTCAAACTGCTGTGCCCTTTTATAAACAAAAATTTGCTTACGTAATTAAAAAAAAAATATATATAATATAAGCTATTCAAAGTTTAATAAAAGTGATTATATGTTTCCATATTTACCTTTAACATATCGCTGACTAAAAAGTTGCTAAGTCCATTTTTACAAATTTTACAGGAACTTTGAATACAACATTTTGCGTGTTTAAAGCAAAGCAAAACTCCATACGAATCATAAGGATTCGATCTTTATTAAAAGATTTCGTATTATTTTGGCCTTATAGGATTTTCGGGGCCTCTTCTGGACTTAGAAAATTTGCCTTCCATTGAATATAAATGAGAAAAAATAAAACAAGTACCTTAATCCTTAATTTCGCTTGCTTCCTATATAACGAGATTTCACAAATAGTGGGCTTAGCAACTTTTCACACAAAGCTAGCGATATTTATGATGTCAAACTACTGGTCAGTCGTCTCTTGAAAAATTGGATTTTTTTGTTTTTTAATAAATGTACCTATAGCTATATACGTATAATTATTATAATTCCTATGAAATGCAAAAATTAATTCGCATCAATTTATAAATAAATCTGAAAAGATTGCTTGTATTTTTTTTTAGTTTTCTGGAGTTTTGAGGGAAAATTATTCTTAGTGTAAGGGAACAGACCTTAATTTTTTAACTACACAGCTTGTAGCTTTGACAGCGTTCCAAGCCGCCATTTGGCCAAACGAGTTTTTGAAGTAAATCAAAGCAAATTAAAGTAAAGTAAGGCGTGCAAAGCAAGCCTGCATTGGGCCAGCGCCTTAAATGCGATTCTAACGGGCTAGTCTCCTGCCCGCGTGATCTTGTCTTTTTGGTTCATGTGCGGTAAGGTTAAGCTGATGCCACTTAAAACTTTTGCTTCGCTTTACGTGACAGATTCGCTTTGATAGATAAGATGAATTGTATGACAATGCACAAAGCATGCCACATAGATCGTTTAAGCTACAGCGCGAAGCGAAGAGATGGCCAACTCCCATCTTTTTGCGCGCTTTGATAATCAGCCGGTTTAATATTTATTTTATAAAACTTAATTACATTGCTGATAATTTTAAAGCAAAATATATAAAATGCACTGCTATTTTGACGAGTAAAAAAGCAGCACAAAATTTGCTGGCAGAGTTATAAATGTCACGCAAAGCCACAAAGTTTTATCTGGCATCAGCTTTACTCTTGCGCCGACGTCACGGTTGAGGAGATTTATTGGCCGATTCCGCCACCACCGATTATTTGAAAGAGTTTCTTAGTGCTCATTTACACACGGCGATTTTTGTTGCCGCAACTCGACGTTTGTAGGAGAGAGCGTGACGAGGAAAGGAGAGGGGCACCGATTTGCTCGTGCTCGGGCAACACGCTTTGTGCTCTCGTTCGCCTGTGTAAATTGAACCGCTGTTCACAGCTGACAACAACAATTGCATACACACAAATCGCCGTGTGTAAATGAAACGAGCAACACCAAAAGGGAATGTCAAAAATCGCGTCGACAAAATTTTCCGTGTATAAACACAGTCTTATGGGTTGATATCGATGATTAGTACTTATGTGTTTTGATGTAGGAAATTATCTCGTATGCAATTTATTTACTGGATAATATCTGTCTCGCTATGTTGAGTGCGATTGTTTTTAATCTTATGTCGTTTTATATTAACATGTTTTTATAATAGTATTTGTGTATGTTTAAGGAATTTAGATAATATAATGTATGTTTTTGAATCTTCAATTTTCTCTAATTCTTCGAAAGAGGCATGTGCTATTAATTTTGGATGATGCGCTCTAATGTTGTCATATTTATTACATTTGAGTATGATGGCTGCGTTTCTTTATACATTCCGGATAATCCCATTTCACAGCCGGAATAAACAGAATACGTTTGAAATATACGTTACCATATCATCAGGAACGTTCTAAAGAATAAGTAAACAAAAACGTTTATTCCAAACGTTCAGAATGAATAAAGAAATTCAGCCGATGTGTTCTGGAGTTTCGTCTATAATGTAAGTTTCACATAGAGGACCGTCTACCACCTTAAATTTTGCTAACGTATGTTTGCAGAATGCGTGTCCCGATAATATTATGTTTATTTGTTTCGCTTCTATATTTGGGATTAATTTGTGAAACCATGGTCTTTTTAATAATTTAGGTAATATAGTGTAATATTTTTTCCCTTTGCCATTACTAATTTCAAAATATTTTCCTTGCCATTCAGAGGATATTCGTCTTCCAACTTCTTTTATGGCATCTTTTATATTCCATTCGATAGTTATCTCTTCACCGGTGATATTAGCAAGTTTTGCAGCTCTGTCCACAACGCAGTTTTGATGAATTCCACTGTGACTTAGGATATAGTGTATTTCCAATGTAATGATATTACTTGTGTTTATTTTATTTATTACATTTAATATTAAGCTATTGTTCGTATTGTGGCGAATACTGCGGCAACGCAAAGCCAACAACGAGAAATAGGCAGAATGTTCGAGGAATGACGTAGAATGTTCCACAAAGAGAAACGTCAAGTTGGATAACACTGCGAACAGCGAGAGAAAGAGAATGAGCGATGAACTGCAGAACGTTCTAGAGTTGCCATAAGTGCGAGCGTAGGTATATAAGGGCACCGCCACAGCGAAGTGAGTTAGTTACAAGTCAGCAAGCTACAAGTAAAGTGAGCAGACAAGTGAGTTGCGAATAAGCAAGCTATAAGTTTAATTGTGTTAACAAGTGGTAAAGCGTTGTTATTGCTTTAACAAGTATTGTAAAGTGTTTTTACTGTATTAGCGAGTATTATAAATTGTTTGTTGTACAATAAAGTTAATTGTA